AATTGTCAAACTTTTGGTGTCGATCATTCGATTTCATCCTGGACACTACAGAAAATGGGCTTAAAGTGTAAAAAACCGAACTTCTCCTTTAAGAGCCGCTGGAGAGGGTCCAAAGAGCCATATGTGGCTCCGGAGCCACAGTTTGCAGACCCCTGGTGTAGATGAAAAAACTCTGGTATGAAGGTGGGCTGTAAATATGTAATTTAAGAGATTTTGTTCATGTAAAATCAGAAAGAAAAAACAACTTTGATCCTAAATTCATTTAAAAAAAATAAATAAAAAGACAGAATAAAAACCAAAAAAAGAGACTGATTAATTCTGTCATGTTTCAGAGTACAAAGAAGTTTGTTTTTTTATTCCAGTATATAAGCCATTACTTAAAATTATTTACTTTCTTTAGAAATAAAGAGAATCAACTAAAAATGCTGAATGTGTATTAAAACTTATTTGAATTATATTAATTGCCTCTCTTATTTCTGGGAACCCAGAAACAGGTTCCTTTATTATACAAACAATATATTTCCCTAGAGCCTCCTTATGCTCCTGTCAAGTGGTCTATTATCACATGCCTAATTAAGGGGACTCATGAGGCATTCAGGCTCAGGAGAAACTTAAAGACTTTTGGCACTGAACAGAGTCAGCTGCTGCATTTATTACTACAGTTACTATAGCTGAATTCTCCATTTTAACAACAAATCTCTAAAACTAAACTAATCTCTAAAAAATGCATGAAATCAATATTTCCATTGCTTCAAAATGTTCATAACTGAGCAGGTTAACATTTAGCTGAAGAAGCTCAAACTGTAATTGATATAATTGTTTTTTTTTTTATTTAATTTGATACTCCCACATAAAGCAGTGCATGTTTCTTATCTCATTAGATGCTCCATGAATCAGCTCTCGGTGGAACCATGGCAGGGAGTTCTGAGAAAAGGAGTCTTAAAACAATTGATGAAAACATACACCAAACATCACTTTTACCATACCATTCATATGATGAAACATGGCGGAGGCAGCATCATGCTATGGAGATGCTTTCATTCAGAAGAGCAGCAAAGCTGGTTAGAGTTAATGGGAACATAGATGTAGATAAACACAGAACGGTGCTGAAGAAAAACATTTAGAATAGCATAAGCTTAGAGGCATGAAAAGGTTTGAGTCTGATGCAGATGTTCACCTTCCAGACAAAGAACTAACAGTCTTAGCTGAAACTGTATAGCTCAGATAAAAAAAAAAAAGTTTTATAAACAGCCCACTTTGAGTTCAGACTGGAATCAAACTAGACATCTGTGGCAAAACACCACAAAACACTGATAGAGGATAACTTATCAAGTACGACTGAGATGGAGCTGTTTTAGGAGAAAATGGCAGAAATTTCAATAAGGTGAAGAAAAAAAAAAAAAAAATGTGTCTCTACAAAGTTTTGGCAAATGAAACAACCTATGCCAAATTTCCAACAATTGACTTTTTGTGTATAAAATGTTTTCATACTCAAAAATTATTTTCTGTCACTCCCTACACTGCAAAAAATGGAAATCTACATAAGTAATTTTTTCTTAAACTAAGTGCATTTGTTCTTGAATTGAGGAGGTAAGTGAGATACTTTGCCAATGGAACAAGACAATTTACATTTAAAATAAGAAAAAGCAACCGCATTGTCTTATTTCAAGTGCATATTATCTAATAATCTTATTTTAAGAGTAAAAGTACTAATTCCATTGGCAAATCATCCCATTTACCTACTAAAATGAAGGGTAAATATGCTTCATTTAAGACATTCTTACTTATTTCTAGACCATTTTTGCAGTGTAGCTGCTTCTACAGTATTATGTGCTGTTATATCAGACAAGATCAGAAAAAAAAAAAAAAACAGTTGTGGCAGTAGCCTGACCAAATAAGTATAGACCTTTAATGATAAGAGTTTAACTCAGACCACATTAAACGACCCCAACCTGTGACTCCCTAAGGTCATGAGTTAGTTGTTGGGTCCAACCAAGAACTGGTGAACTTCATGACATTGGTAATTTGAAAGATTTAGGAGCTGCTGGGTTAAGCAGTGTCAGAAATCGAATCAGAGCCAAAAGGTCAAATTTAACGTCGTTAATAAGGTCATTTTATCCCCTAGGTGACCTAAACACACTCCAGAAGTAACATTTAGATTTATAATTGGGTCAGCATCTGTCACTGCTTGATTGCAAATGTGTTAATTCCTCATTTGTTTCCTTTCATATTTCTCACCTTGATGAGACAGCTATGAAAATCCTAAACACTTCAAACAAAACATTCCAGCTTGGAGTAATGCAACTTGGAGTAATAAAGAGAAAACATTTACAGGATTGACATTATAATCCTTTTAAATCTTCAGACATCAGATCATGATCTGCAGACTTACTAAATGAATTAGTATACGTGGTCTAATGAGGTTTGTTTGTCAGATAAGAAGATCCTTTTGAAAATAACAACTTTTAAACAAGTATTAGAGATACTTTTAATCAAGTCCATATTTTTGTGTTCATGTTTTTTAAATAGTTTGATATAATATTGCAATATTACTATAATGCTATACTATAATGTTAAGAATTTATTAAAATAGTTTTACTCCTCAGGTTCTCCTAGCTGGTATTAAACATCTTTGCTGTAATTTATTCTTTGATCAGCTGCTCTCCTCTCGATCTTTCTCTGAACTTAGTCTGACTTCTGAAGACTTTCTCTTTCAATACATGTGCAAAAGATCAAACAGACAGCAGGCTTCATTCCCATATTAGTGAGGCACACAGAGAGGAGATGAGAGTAACATTTATGGGCTGAAAACCAAGCACCAAAACAATTATTTTCTTTTGTTTTCTGGCTGCGTTCTCTCCTTGGTGCAGCTGTAACCTTTGCAAAATCTAAATGTAAAAAAAAGAAAAAAAAAAGATTGATGGTTGTCATGTCTAAGCACTTGATCCTTGTTCATGGTGCCAGCTCCAAGATCTAAAAACTACCCAGCGGATTGCTTTGGCATATACATTCACAGAGAGACTTGGCCGGATGATAAGGCTGAAGATCCTGGCACATCTGCGGTGCTGAAAGGTTTTAGTGTCAAACTGATGACTGAGTGTCTATTTATGAAAGCACCTGGGAGAGCTTTCCTGGTGGACCTCACAGCGTGTGTCTCTGTACGTGTGTAATACTTCCATGTTGATGTGTGTTCCTCAAAAGGACGAGGGATGATAGAATAACAGTCAGCTTATGCTATTCTGTTATTGCATGCTCATTTAATTCACTGAAAGCCCTCGGGCAAAAATTGTCCAATTTAATGATGATCTTTTATCCCTACCAGGCTCTGACTGTGATGTACGGAAACTGAACTCTGGACTTGTTTATAGCTTGGTTCTGCTGCAGTCTACATACCATTCCTGAGCCAACATGAAGTATTACACTCTCCAAAGTCCCGATCCAAATATAACAAAGAGCTCCACAGATGGTGTCTTAGTTCTTTAACTCCACTAAACATTTACAATGTTTATGTTCTCATCTTTTTTGGGTTTATTACTGTTAAATGGTCTTGCCATATTATTTTTTTTTCCTATGATGTTAATTACTGTTTTTAGACTGATATTTTAAAAGTTTGTTCATTTGTGTTTAGTTTCTCACTCTTTTTGTGCGTGCTTGCTTCAGGATTTGAATTTATACTGTTATGATGACCTTTTCGTCTTTTGATCCAAATCTTTTTGTGGTTCTGGTGCACTGCAACCTTGAACCCTGATAACAGCATACATAAAAGTCACAACTGCAGTTGTTAAATTGTTTCTAAAATTCTACAGTTCATGGCCCAGTTTTGCTTTTTTTAAACAAATGTTTTAAATAACCTAACTTAATGGAAACAGATTCCTACACTTTCACTCACACCCTGTTGGTTTTTTTTTATAACAAGGGGATTTTTTTCAAGAGCTTAAACTCATTTACTAAAAATTGGTTTTATTTAGTAAGTTTTGGTGAGATTTATACATTTCCCACAATGGCAAATGTTAAGCTGAATCAGGTTTGATGTGAAAAAATGCTGCAAAAGAAAGAAGCTTATCACAGAAAATAGAGATCAGCAATCTAGCTGTGCATAACTCAAACCGTTTGGAAGAGTAATTTTGCAGCCTGACTTAATTTGCAATTATTTTAGCTACTTTTGGCATTCTACCTTTGAATATTTTATGCATTTGTCTACTCATAATTTATGTATTTTAAACTCATTTCTAATTTGAATCTATTAATTTATTTGTAGCATTTCTACTTTTTTGTGTTTATTTTCTTATGTGTCTTTTAGGTTAGTCCAAATAATTTGTTTGCTTTTTCCACTGTTTACTTTAAAAAAATGATTAAATTATTGGGTAAAGATTATCTTTATAGGGCAATGTGCTGCTCTCATAAAATCAAATACTATGATTTTCTTCAGTTTCCAAGGCTGTTAATGAAAAAACAAACAATGCACAACACATACACAGATTCTATTGAAATACTTTATGATTAATGTCAAAAAGAGTCTTAGTCTCTCTCTATAGATATAAATATATATATAATAGTGCTTTCAAAATTTCCATCCAGTGATACAACAGTATTTCAAAGTGCTACATTTTACAAGTACTGCCTAACTAGTCACAGTGTCATACTATATTTTCCTTTCGAAAGATGATTAAAAAAAGTCTCTTTTAACCTCCTTTGTCATTTTTTCTCATCGCTCTCCTCTCCCCTCCTTCTCTTTCATGGATTTAATTGCACTCTTCTCACTGATCTTCTTCCTCTCCTTCTCCAGTCTCACCCTGTCTTTCTCCATTATCCAGTTGTCTCCAAGGTAACTAAGAGCATCCTCAGGACATCCTCGAAGTTCTGGTCTGGGATCAAGAAGCGACTGGAAGAAGGAGCAGCCTAACTGTGTGAAACATGCAAACTGAGGAGCTACAGATGAGTGGTCCTTCTGCCTGTTTCCGTTCAGATCAGTGGATCTCTGAGTCCTCCCTGTTGGTGGTTCTTCCCACACATCCAGTTCATCGTTGGGGCCGTTTTCTCTGTCAAACCAGTCTCGATATTTAATGTAAGAACAGCAGTCACTGGCTGTCTCAGCCCAGGGGTGGCTGCCAGTAAGCATGGCGTATGTTAGGATACCCAGCGCCCAGCTGTCTGTACTGGGCTCTACTGATGTCCAGACTCTCTGTTTCTTTATTTTCTTCGCATCCTCCTGAAAATTACCATTTTCATCGTTTGGGCTGTTCCAGCTGTCATCATTTCCTCGGGCAATCTCAGCCTCTGGGGTGCAGTAGGGAGAGCTGTACCAGACTTCTGGGATTCTGGTTCCCCTGGCTTTTACCTGGAGAAAAACGTAAAAACATTTGTGACAGGTATAAAGTTGGCTGCTGTTTTGTTATTGGTAAGTGATTGCTTTCAATTTGACAATAAACTCTTTTTGGACTGACCATGCCAAAGTCTCCCAGTTTGACCCATCGACATGCGGAATCACACAGGAAGACATTCTCAGGTTTGACATCTCTGTGGACAAAACCAAGGGAGTGGAGGTGGGACAGAGCCCCACACAGCTGGGAAACCACACGCTGACAGCAATCCTCCTCCATCCCCACCTAGAGAGCAGATGAAGAAAAATGAGTTATCGCTTCTGGAGGCACTTTTTGTCTTGCATTTCTTTATCTGTTTCTTTGCATTTCTTTTTTTTTTTGTCATTCTCAATCCCTTTTTTAAGTTATTATGAGAATTGTGAGCCTTTGTTCCATACCTCAGGGGTGATGATGTCAAAGAGATCCCCAAACAGACTGGCTTGCTGAGCAAAGATGTAATGTGATGGTGTGGAGTAAGCGATTCCCAGAGCTCTGGTCAGGGATGGATGGGTGCAGAAGGACAGAGAGAGATTGTACTCCCTCAGGAAGGAGAAAAGCGAGGTGGATTCACGAGGAAAGAACTTTAAAGCCATCGGAGTTCCTGAGGGATCCAAAGAGAACATAAGAACTAATGTCTTTTTTCCAGGATATATGGACCTTAGGGATTTTTCATTAACTGAATTTCTCACCTCTCTTCCGGTGCACAGCCAGCATGACTTTTCCATATGAGCCTTCACCCAGCACCTTTAGGACCTTGAAGTGCTCTGATGTGTCCATTGCTGCCAGCGATTGAGCCCTGAGATGGCACATCTCCTCTAGAAGCTTTGTTGAAGTCTGAAAAAACAGACAAGAAGGGCTGAAGTTAAAGTAGAGTAACTGCTTCTGATGGACGTTAATGTTAAATCTTTTAATGAAGCAGCAGAAACTATTGGAGATTTTAAAGAGTTTTTTAAGGGAATCATTTGGCTGTTAAAATATTCTATTTGACATTCTCTCATAGACTGTATCCTTGACAGTGTTTGGGAATGTAACCCGACCATTTCAGCGTTTATCGTCACCATGGTGACATCTAGGGGATAAACATAGCTGTTAAATGCCACATGAAATCCTGCCACACACATTGGGTTCGGTTCTGTCTGTCGATGTTTCCACTGTGGCTGGCACCACTAAGTACAAGATTAAGTGTCAACATCTTGATCCAAACAGAGGCAGCCCATTACAGCTCATTAGAGTTCAAATTCAGGCTGCACATGTGCTGCATACAGTCCCTGAATTTCTCACTACAGCTTCAGTCACATCAACAGCTTCTGAAACAAGGAGCAACTGCATTTTGCATGACTTGTTATGCACTTTAAGGCATTAAAGGGAGCAGAAATGAACCTGACAGGTTTCCAAAGTCTAATTGGAGTAACAATAACAGTGGTATAGTTAGGCTCAAAATGAATCACAGTCCCTGGTAGCTTTCATTGTAAAAGTCCAAACTACAACTTTTTCATCAAAACCAATCATTTTCCCCAAAAAAATACACCCACAGAACACATTAAATGGTTCAGATTAAAAGTATTAATTTTACATAATTATTTACTTCTGGTTACAGTGTTGACATGGGTGTAAAATTATTCTGCAACTATAATAATAGTAGGTCAAAATCGTGTGACATGGAGCTCAGAGTTGCCAGATTCTATAAATGTCATGATAGGACTGGGGTATGGCTTCTGCTAAGTGTTATATTTCTCTGATTGAAGCCAAAAATTTTAAAAGAAGCAACACAAGGATCAACTTGAGTCAAGCTTTTGAGCGTAGATGCCATCTTAAGGAAGCAAAGGGGCTCAGAAGGCATGCAGAGGTGGCAGCTTTGCTTTAAGTAAGCTGAATGTTTGCTAATGCTAACCATTGTCAAAGAGCGTGATTGCACCAATGACTGGCTGGAAGTAGTTATCCCCTTTAAGTAATCCTTAGATTTGAACTACTTTCTGTTGATTGGAAGTAATATTATGCTTTTGAATTTTCAGAATGTTCAGTCTAAAAAGTATATAAACAATTTGTATTTCAGATATAAAAAGAACATTTTGGATACCTTTGATTTCACTTGGTTTAAATTCTGTAAAAGAATATTACTTAAGGAACCTTTAACTGTCTGATTATTTAGCAATTATAAAAAAAATAATTCTTTAGAAAAATGTGAATAGTTGCATCATTAATTTGATTTTTGATCTTTTGTACTGATTATTTAGAAGGATTTTTTGATTCAAATAAAAATAAAAGTGGGCGTTATTTAAAATTAATTAACATTGTCTTATCCATCCATCCATTTTCCAGTCCGTCACCAGTTCATCGCAGGGCAACACAGAGACAAACAACCATTCACACACACACACACACTTAAGGAGAATTTAGAGAAGCCAATTATTCTAACAGTCATGTTTTTGGTCTGTGGGAGGAAGCCGGAGTACCCAGAGAGAACCCACACATGCTCAGGGAGAACATGCAAACTACATTGTCTTATCTGTTAAGAAATTTCTGTTTCCTTTCTTATTAGAGGTAATTTTTTGATTGAATGAACATCATTTCTTAATAATTTTTTTTAGTCTATATAGTTTGATATGTTTTCATACCTGATGTCTGTTGTTGGAAGCCTGGGCATCATATGAAGCAACTAGATTGTCATGCATCATGATTCAATTCTGTATATCTTCTCAAGATTTCCAAAAAGCAGATGGATATACTTTTTCATAAATTTCTTTTTATTTTTTAACTCAAGTTGTAATACCAACTTATTTTAGCTTTCTAACTTTAATGAAAACATTTTAACTACAACATTTTAAGGTAAAAACATAAAGTATTTCCTCCCTCAACATTTTTTTTCAAAAACATATTGTATTTGTGTGATGAAACTGGATTGAAATATTAGGGGTGCAGTTTGTGGATCAAACTGATTACAAATAGCTAACATGGTTCAAATATAAACAGATAATTCATCCAAATTGCCTATTTCTTTGTTTTTGAAACTTCAGGTTTTGGAATATTTTTTAAATTTTTTATTGCATTCATGTCACTGGTTATAAAATGTATCCATTTTCCATTTTCCACATTAATTGTGAAGTCAGGAGTTGAAGTTGAATGACTAAAGTCTCTCACTCTTGATAAAAGCAGATATGTGAAATTGTCTGAGATATGTGGACTAAAATAATAATGTGTGAAAGCATGGATCATGTTACATTGGTCATCTCTCCAAAAGCTTCCTACTTACTGTCATTTTGTAGTTCTGGTTTGAATTTGCTCCTTAAATCTGAACAACAGAAAAACCTGCTGACGACTTCAGGTGGCGGGTGAAGCAGTCAGATTGTTTCTTCCCCTCCTTTTTCCTGCTAAGATCACAAAACGTCGGAGAGCCCTGAATCTCCAGCTGTGGCCTCGATGCTTTCTGTTATTCTCCAGAATTTTGTGACTCGATTAGATCAATGTTTACATGTCCTCAGCAGCTGCAGCTATGACCTCCGACTGTTATATCCTCCTGTCCTCTCCTCCCCCTGTTGTTAATCTGCTGCTGCTGCAGAGCAGGACAGACCCTGAAGGGTGTCATGCATGTTTGGGTGTGGGGGTCTGAGCAAAAGAGACTCTGAATGTCTGTATGTCTCTTTTTCTATCTAATACTTAGCATCATCTTTGCTTTCTTTTATGTTTATTTGGTGTTTTCAAAGATTCAACAAATACTTTTATGAAAATCCAAGTTTCTCTGAACTTTGCTGAGGCTGAAATATAAAAATGCTACTCATAACCAAAATGGAATAGATGCAATGTTTCAGCTGAATAGAATAAAAAGTAGAAACTGAGGATGTGTTTAAGGCACATATATGGTTGATGTAAATGGTGCAGAAATAATACATTTTGTACTTACCACATCTGTGCAACTACAAATATTCTCATTTAAAAATGTTCCCAAACACTAGTGACACTTTTCCAGGTTTTAACATTTTAATACATAGATGAAAAATCACTCATTTGATTTCAACAGGATAAAACCATGTCCATTAAAAAAACGTTTTTGTGCCTTTTTTTTTAGCACTGCAGATGTGTTGACATGGGAAATGAGAAAATGTATGGAGAAAAGACTTCAATAGCACAAGTTATTGCTGATCAAGGGTGGCAAAGATTTTACTCCAGTCACACTACTTTGATATGTTTACTTAAGTAAAACTTTAAAGTATTCATCCAACAATTTATTCAAGTAGTAGTAAAAGAGTACTTGGTGCAGTGGCTAGGTATTGAGTAGCTGTTTCTACTTAACATCTGACTCGATGTTTAAGATGATGTAATCAGATTAGTTAGTAAATATGTAATTAGTTATGTTCAAATTCTCATATTCTAAAGTATAAAATGAACTAAAGATACACATAAATAGATAAAATAAATTTAGATAGAAGAAACTTTTTTCCAAGAAATTGAAAGAATCTTTACAGTAGGTAATTCATTCACGTTAGGAAATGATAAAGAACATCCAGCAACAACATCTGCTGTTTACTCACCTGATTTTAAAGAACTCAAGTTACTCTTGGTGAAATGAGTAACCCCAAATTTTACTGAAATCAGAGTAGCGATACTCTGACAAGAATTTGAACTGAGGTAAAGGAAAATTATATTAAAGAAAAATTACTCCTAAAGGTATTTGTTGCTAAGCTACTACAGTAGATATAACTAGATACTATCTGCTTCTGCTGCTGATGAACACAAATAGATACCAAACTATTCAGAGACAAAAAAGGACTATCTTTATTTTTTTGTGAGTTTACAGAGATATTTAATTTCAGTGTTTAATCATAAGGGTATAGTTCATTGTTGTATTGCTGTTAAAGGTGGGACTAATGGGAAATATACTGCTATATGTTTACAGCATATTATTCTTGGTCATTCTAGATCAACCATCTAGGTTTAAAATGTATTGTATTAACTTTGGTGAGTTTTTTTATTTTAATTAAACAGTTTAGCTGAAACCGTGTAAGTACCTCCAGTATTTTCTTATTNACTTAACATCTGACTCGATGTTTAAGATGATGTAATCAGATTAGTTAGTAAATATGTAATTAGTTATGTTCAAATTCTTATATTCATTCATGTTAGGAAATGATAAAGAACATCCAGCAACAACATCTGCTGTTTACTCACCTGATTTTACATAACTCAAGTTACTCTTGGTGAAATGAGTAACCCAAAATTTTACTGAAATCAGAGTAGCGATACTCTGACAAGAATTTGAACTGAGGTAAAGGAAAAAGTATATTAAAGAAAAATTACTCCTAAAGGTATTTGTTGCTAAGCTACTACAGTAGATATAACTAGATACTATCTGCTTCTGCTGCTGATGAACACAAATAGATACCAAACTATTCAGAGACAAAAAAGGACTATCTTTATTTTTTTGTGAGTTTACAGAGATATTTAATTTCAGTGTTTAATCATAAGGGTATAGTTCATTGTTGTATTGCTGTTAAAGGTGGGACTAATGGGAAATATACTGCTATATGTTTACAGCATATTATTCTTGGTCATTCTAGATCAACCATCTAGGTTTAAAATGTATTGTATTAACTTTGGTGAGTTTTTTTATTTTAATTAAACAGTTTAGCTGAAACCGTGTAAGTACCTCCAGTATTTTCTTATTATTTTATATTGTTTTTATTTATCTTTATGTATTTTATGGTATCTTCTAGTTTGAAATTGTGTAGCACTTTGGTCCTATTGGCTTATAAAGTGTTAAATAAATAAAGTTGGATTGGATTGTTATTCTGATCTTTAGTTTTTACAGTTTCCATTTCTCTGTAATGGGCCGATTTCTCTTATCAATAGTTTCTTGGGCTGTCAGGTTGTTGACTTGAATTTATCATTTTGATCATCCTGTGTTTTATAGTATTTTGATAAAAGAAAAGGTTCCAACAGGTTCTTCTTTTGGTTACATTAGTGAAGAAAAATTTCAGGATTTCTCAGCCAGTTATATAAAAATAAAATCTGAAATCCTTTTGAATATTTACTTGTTAAGAGAAGTTTCTCTTTATATTAGACCCTGCGAAATGTACAATCAGAAGGTCAATCAAAAGCTCTGTTATGTTCTTGCTACATTTGTGCTGGTTGTGAACTAAGTTTCCTCTGTCAGAATTACAGCTTATATAGAAAATGTTGAAGATACTAATAGGTGAAATGCTGTCCTAACATTCATTCCCAAATTCAAACACTGAAATCATCTGTGTTTGTTTCCTGTCACCCCTTTCTCTCTTTGCACACATTGCTCCTCCACTCTGTGTTCAGGGGAAGGATTTTCCTCCAACACTGAGACCCCATGTGGTTTGTAAGTCCTCCTGTCAGCTGTCAGTTGTGGCCACAGGCCACACATCCTGTAGACAGCTTACTCTGTTACAATGAACGTCTGTGCGTGTGTAAAATCATCCATGTCAACACGCTGCCATTATATAAGAGTCTCTGTTACTCTCATAGTTCACAGATGAACAGGAGTGTTTTTCTTTATGTGAAACTTGGCTGTGCGCGATAAATATTTACCTCAGTGCTTTATTAGTGTTGGCATTTCATCAACAGATGTGGTGCTGACTGTAACATAATACGGGTGCAGTGCTGCTCTGAGGGCAACACTAAAACAATCAGTTCCTTCAGATGAAGTTATAGGGCAGAACGTTATATTATGGTTAGAATAGAACCAATGTATTACAGGATTCTCAGGGATTTAGTTTCCTAGATAGAAACAACGACACCACATAAATTATATTTCAGTTGGCCACTAAATGGCCTATGGCCATTTAGTGGCCTATGGCCATATTGAATTTGAATCAGCCTTATGTAGATAAAACACAAGGAAACAAACTGAACTGAAATACATAGCAGGCCTTCTGCTATTGTAGGTCTTTTTGGTTAGTTGTTCCACCTCTGCCACTAGATGTCACTATATTGTACAAACATAGATTTAAGGCAGAAGTAGAGGCTCCTCAGCATAATTTTTTGTATGGACATTTATTTACATCTTTTTTATTGGTTCTTGCTCTTCGTATGTTGTTCATCTTGTAAGCTGAGCCGATTGTTAAAAGAGACTTCTAAGTTAAAATAACAAACTTGCTGATTTTGAGTGTTGAGCAGAAATCTGCTAGATGAAAATTACCGTGTTGAATTTGGTTTTACACTGGGGATGGCTTTGGTGTTAACTGATGCTATATTAATAAAGCAAAATTTGACAAGCTGAATCAAACTAGAGCAGCTATCTGGGTTTCAGTGGCCTCTGAATATGAGGGATAATTTTTGGGTAATAATTTTGGATTTTTTTTTACCTTCAGGAGAGACAAACTTTTTACACTTTTGGACCTTGAACAAAAATAATTTATTAGGTTTCACTAGCAGTAATTTCTATCTACAGATAAACCTGTGGAAATTTTAGTAATGTTTGATTTTTTTTTTCTTTTCATAAATTCATACAAGTTTTATGCATAACCGACTGTTTAAATGTCCAAGTTCAGCAGCCTGTTCTTATATGAAGTCTTCTCAAATGGAGTTTGTTTAGTATGAAATGAAAGTATAGAAAAAAAAAGAAGTTAATCTGCACACACCTCCAGAGAATCATATTTAAAATACAAACAGTCTTTTATTTGATCATATTTATCTTATATGCTGGGAGTTGCTCAGCATCAAATAGAATTTAACAATTTAGCTCAATTTTATATAAAAGGAAAAGCCAAAATAGGGCTACTCAGTGGCGAAGTGCCTTGCCTTGCAGCAAGAAAATCTGGATTTGATTCCCAGCCCGGCTCTTTCTTCATGAAGTTTGTATGTTCTCCCTGAGCATGCATGGGTTCTCTCGGGGTACTCCGGGTTCCTCTTACAGTCTAAAAACATGACTGTTAGGTTAATTGGCTTCTCTATATTGTCCTTAGATGTGAGTGTGTGCGTGAATGGTTGTTTGTCCTGTTTGTCTCTGTGTTGCCCTGCGATGGACTGGCCACCTGTCCAAGATGTACCCCGCCTCTTGCCCGTAGACAGCTGGAGATGCGCACCAGCAACCCTCACGACCCTGCTTGGGATAAGCGTGACATAAAATGGATGGATGGATGCTGCCAACGTCTGTACATATACAATGAGAATCTACATAGATAAACATGATTATGAAAATAATTCATACTTCTGTTTTTATCTTGTGTGTTCTTAGAAAACGTTTTGTAACTGATTACTCACTCAAAACAAAGACAATCTAAGTACTTTCATGAGTTGAAATGCTGCAAGTTGCGTTTCTTGGTCTTTCCATTGTATCGATACATAAATAATAATAAAACAACAGTTTTTTGAGGTTTCAATTAATTATTTTATTAATAACATAAAATATATAAAACAAATACATTATAATAGTATAAATAGTATAAGTTACAATAAAAGATAATACATTAATATTAATATCATACGTGACATAAAACCATATTTATAGAAAAATCGAGATGCCAGCACCTCACTGTTCAAATACAAAATATAAAAAAAATAAACAAAAAAAAAACTGATAAATAG